ATCTTGATGTGAAGAGCCACCCATCTCCATGATGTTTTTCTATAGCCTATTACGTTCCTTCATAGAGTGCTCTCACACGTAAGCGGTTAATTAGGCGCGCCATCATGTGGTCGGACAATATTGCCTTTTAATTATTCTGCCATTGGTGCAATGACAATGTATCTATTTTTTATTATAATTAAAAATTGCAATACCTCGATTTTAAAAAAAATCGCCTTAAAACGTAAATTCGAATTAATCGAAAAAATCGAAAGAATCGCCCAGCCCTACTGGCCAGTGTGTAAATTGTAAATCAAATGTTTTGAAAACCCTTTTTACACCATATTCATTTGGTAACAATACAAAGACAACAAAAGACTGTGTAAAGTACTGTAGTGTAGTGCTTAAAAAAAACACCTGGAGGAACACCTCACAATTACTTAAGTTTACTGGCAGCAGGTCAGCATCATGACTAGGTATAAAAAGAGCATCCTAGAGGAGCTGAGTCTTTTAGAAGTAAGGATGGGGTGAGGCACCGCTCTACGTGGCAAATACCTAAACAATTTAATGTCTCTCAATGTAAAACTGCAAAGATTTTGTGGTTTTCGTCACCTATGATATATATCATCTTTAAAAGCTTCAGAGAATCTGGTATTTTGATTCACTTTGTCCTGCCTGTTTTTCTTGTTGCTTTATTGTTATTTAAGCGTACTTTGATGTATTATGCCTACTTTTTTTTTTATTTGATGCATCCTATTATGCAATTGATGCAACTGTTTGTACTGAACTGTATTTCTATTAAATAAAAAAAAGGCGTAAAAAGAAAAACGTTAGCTACAGAATGGATTTCCTGTAGATTACTTCTTCTATTGCTATTGTAACAGTGTTGTGTTTTTTTCTCAATAGTGACACCTATTGCTTAGGAGAAGACTGCAGTAAATCAAGCATGCCTAAAGCACAAGAATCAATGGTTTTTTTCTCTGTCGACATCATAATTTGCACATGCAACTTTCAATGTGTTGAGGATAGCACCAATTTAAGGCATCTCAGGAGGATCTTAAAACATCCTTCCTTTGTGTTTACAAATCTTCTAATTTACTTTTGTTTGTCCCTGAATTTTGAAATGAAGACCTCATGAGTTGTAGTGTGGCTTTTAAATTTTATTACAAAAATGAATATAATCAATGTTTATTAACATTCTGACTGATATAGCCTCTTATAATAATTTTACTTTAAATTTTGCTCTGGCCTCTTTGTTTGTGTTCAACATAATACCTTATTATCTCAAAGAAATCCTGAAGCAAATGTGTATGTGACACAAAAAGGTCAATTATAATTTTGGCGGGAAAAATATGTTTGGCTGGTGGATTTTTTCATCTCCCAGCCACCTTGGACGGTGAGTCAAAAAGTTAATTTCAGACCTTGACAGGGACTGTATGTTTACTTGGTGTAATTCTGGTTTGAACTAGTGAGTTTTCATTGTTTTTCTGGAGGGTTTTACAGCATGTAGCCCTGAAAAAAATAGACCTGAAGTGTCAAAGTACACTTCAGTTCATGGCTGCACACATAAAGTGCGAGTGATATGCAAGCTGACATGCGGACAGGGTGCACAGCTGGATTCATAGGATCGTATCAGTTGCATGACATGCGCAAGTCAAAAACATGACTGAAACACTTTTGGTATAGACAGGGCATTAGCCAAACACAACAAACAAATAAGCTTTTCCTTCTGCAGTATACATAGCTTATGGCTGTTAGATTTGCTTACCTGAGGCATCTCCCACTTCAAAGTCACTGTCATCTGAGCTGTCATAATCCAAGGCATCTAAGAGAGAGGCAGCAAGTGGTTTCACCTGCCGGCGCTTCAAACTGCGGTCCACTACCACAGGACAGTTGCAGAAAACAGAACATTAGAAAACAAAGTGTGAGTGAGCGTTGAAGTCCACGCAGCAGGATAATAAATTTGGACTTTGTCATGCAGTGACATACGGTACAAAATTACAAAAAGAACCAGGTCTACCTATAAAAATAAGGTAATTGTAGAAAAAGATGACTGAGATGAATTAAATATCAATTCTTTATGTATATGTCTTAACCGAACTAAAATTATGTCCAAGGTTAGACTAAAAATATTAGGTTTGTACAGGTTTCTTTTAGTAGTCAATCAATTTAAACTCTTAACTTAACTCTTTAGTCCATTCATTTTAGTTTAACAATTTAGACTTCAGGTACTGCTGTCATGGTTAAACTATTACTATATTAGCCAACCAGGTATTGGAACACATTCCCCATCTGCATGTACCTATTCTTACTGATAGAGTATGCACTACTGACTGTGATATGCCAGCTGTATTCCATAACAGATAACACTTTGAATCTGCATAAACCACTGGAGTGCCACTCTTACTTTAGTGTCATCTGTTGATTCTTAGTGCTAAAGGTATGGCCCTGCTGCTATACTGACATATGGTACAATACATATACTGTATCACATCATGTTCCACTGACACACAGTCTATGTTTAGGGGCAGCTGTGGCTCAGGAGTGGGTCGTTTCCTAACCGGAGGATTAGCGGTTCGATTCCAGTCAACATGTCAAAGTGTTCTTGAGCAAGACACTGAGTGTCTTGTGTGTGTGAGTGTGTGAGTGCTTGTGCGGGCAAATGGGTAGTGTGGCCAAGTAGTGTGAAAAGCGCTTTGAGTGTGCTGTACAGCGTAGAAAAGCACTATACAAGTACAAGACCATTTACCATGTATGTACCACCCCCTAATGGCATAAACTGGTTTGTAGTAGCATTTGTGCTGCTGTAATATGTTTCTTTATTTCTATGATGTTTGGGCAGTTTTTGTTTTATTGCTATGTGCTCAGTGAGAAATAGCATTACAACACATAGCCTACCACTAACAACTGGGAGAAGAGTGGCATGCTGTTAATATATGATGGTGGTTGTCTGCCACAAATCACAAACCATTTATAAGAGGTCCACAGCAGGAACAGACTATAATCACAAGTGTCATACTTCATTAAGAATTACTATACTACATGTCACTGTAAAGTACTATTTGCCAGTGTAGCCTAAGTGTAGCATGTAGGAAAGAAAAGACCAAAAGACATGGAAGCACAGAAAAGATAAAAGTATAGAAAGTGGGATTATGCTCACACATCTCTTACATGCATGTTTGAAAACATTATTACTATCCCACATGTAAGGGTTTACATTGACTATAGCCCACCAGAGCTGCCATTTGAACATCAGGAGACAGAGCTCTGCTCCGTCTCCTTCAGTATCGCAGCCTTACACTAACCAAAACATAACTCCTTTTCACTGACCTCCATAAATTGCTCTGGTTATCAGACAGCAGCTGGATCAATACATGTCTCCATATTAAGAGAGATTCAGTTTGCAATTTACACGTGGCACAGCAGAGCAAGGTCTCCTGTCAATGCACAGAAAAAGTAGTACACATACTACAGTGTACTCAGTCCAGACTAACCTTTAAGGCAGAGACCCACCAAGCCAACGTGAAAGAACTAGCAGCTTAATACACTGTTGTGTCGCCTTTGTCTGGGCCAGTCGGGTTGAAAAAGTGGCACTTGAACACAACGCACAGACAACAGCTGACTAGCATGTACGTTCTGCACCTGCCTGACAGAAATAACTGTCAGGCAGGTGCAGATTGTTATGTGCTAGTCGGCCGTTGGCTGTCATCTGTGTGGTGTGTCCAAGTGTCACTTTTTCAACCCGACTGGCCCAATGGCAACAGATGACACAACAGTCAACCTACATCTCTGCTAGTTCTTTCACGTCGGCTTTGTGTGTTTCTGCCCTAATCCACCTACATAAATAAGTGGCCTTGGTGTAATCAGCATGAAAGCAGAACTTTCACAGAAGCTGTCATGTGATGACATAACTGATGAGTTTGTAGCAAACAAATGCAGATATGCGCCTCTATGAAACCAACAAAAATGCTGATATAGCTCTTCTTGCTTGAGTTCTGTGTGGCTTGTCTTTGTGACACTGTTATTTATATATTTATAATGAGTCATAAATAACATTAAACAACAATTGTGGGGGATAGGGGCACCATGGGGGCGACAGTGATTCAGTGGATAGAGCAGTCTCTCCCAACTGGAAGGTTGAAGGTTCAAATCTCGGTGTCTGCAGTCCACATGTTGAAGTGTCCTTGGGCAAGACACCGAACCCCCAGGTTGCCCTGATGGCAGCGCATACGCACGCAGCAGAGCGAAGCCCTCGGCTCCAAACAAAATTTTATTGTACATGTCACAATGTTACAATGACAATAAAATAAAGCTTCTTCTTCTTCTTCTTCATAAAGCATTTGTGCCCTGCACCTAGAGGAGCACTAAACTTTCTTTTATACCTAAAACTTTAGTTTCACCTTGTTTCACCCAGGTTTCAGTAATAAAAAACATATCCAGGTCATGTGCACAAATAAGATCATTAAGAATGAAAGTCTTATCATTAAGCGATCGTATGTTCAAGAGAGCAAAGTGAAGCGGGCTTAGCGTATCCTATTTCCTCAGCATACTTGCAACTCTTTCAGCTACCAAAATGTTCAACTCTTCAAGGACATTCATGCTTCTCTTCAGAAGTTTTAAACTTCATAGTTTTGAAATGTTTATCCTTATTTTGAAAATCTTGCCCCATTTCTACTGTACCTGGGAAAATTCTACTTCAGCATACTTTCAGCTCTTTCAGCTGTCAAAATGTTCAATTCTTTAGGACATTCATGCTTGAATATTAAGAAAAGTGTTTTTATTAAGCTTGAAAGTTCATAATTAATCCAGCATTGGAGTTAAGGTATTTTATTTTGAAAATCGTGAGCTTTGGCCCGTTTCAATACCTTTACCGTAAATGTAAGTTTATAGAGTATATAGGCGCACTTCAAATTCTAGCGCGGCTGGCTTAACCACGGAAAACTGAACGGCGGCTGATTTGACCGCAGTCACCAACCGGTTGAAAAAAGCAATAGTTGTAGGTCAGGATCCAGTTTGAATCATGGCAGCCATGCTCCAGGAAGTGCTCCATCCACCTCGATGAATTTAGGCAGGTATTTTTTAGATGATACATGTGTTCCACTGTGCAACACTTTGTGCTCTTCGGAGTTGTAAAGTGCTATATAAATAAAATTTATTATTATTATTACAGTTTATCGGCCTGATTTTGGTTGTGATAATTCTGCTGAGTGAAACCTTGAACAACTCACTGTGCATCAGCTGTTATTCCACGTTATAACGTTTTTTTCTCCCTCCTCGTAAGACGGAGCCCCACCACTAGTGATAAATGGTCTTATATTTGTAATGAAGCACACTCAGATTTTCCATTCACCCATTCGCGGAGACAAACATTCACACACTGAGCAACTCGGGATTCAGTGTCTCGCCCAAGGACACTTAGACATGTGAACTGGAGAAGCCAGGATTTGAACCACCGACCTCACATTTTGCAAACATTTACACAGACGCTTATTGATAAATTAAACACCACAATCATAAAAGTCAAATACGTGTTGAATCGGATTTAACGAAACAACTTCTCTAACACTGAAACTGGGACAAATGTAACGTTAAACTTCACGAACGCGCCTCACGTGCACACTGTACACGTTTAGTATTGGCAAACAGTTAGCAAACAGCGCACAGCTCCAGCAATCCGAAACCTGTGCAATGCTGTTAGCCAAGTCTAGCTCTTTCGGCCACTAGTTAGCCACAACAAACTCATTTGAGCGTAACAAGCTTCAGTGTACACAGTAATCTTGTCACCGTCAAACAACCTATCTAACACATTAACTGCAGCTACGTCACCTCAAATCCCTATATACCAAGCAACACAGCTAATTGTGGCTAACATTAGCTGTTGTCATTCACTTCAACTTATGAGATTGTTATGTAAATCACCGAGTCCCCTTCCCATAGACATAAGTGTGTGGAATAGCATTAAAGGGTGGAATTCCGGTTAGACTGAGAATAACGGGCTAAGCAAAGTACGAAAATGCACGTAAAATTAATAGTATTAGCAACACCAAGTGCTCACAAAGCAAAACTGAGCTAGCTTAGCCGGCTAGCTCCTAATTAGCAGTAGTTCCAGACAGTAAATAGCGTTGTTTAATCGGTGCGCCAGCAAACCAAACTTAACAAAACCATGCTATGTCTTAGAGGAAAACGTAGCATGTAAAGCAGCACTCACTCTGTTCTTCGTTTTACTAGGAACAAGGCAAGTCTCCTTTTAGCAGCATGCTGTGTGGACAATGGAAAACACAGCAGTAACGTACGGTACAAATGCCTGGATGTTGTTGCCATGGGGACAGTTAAAGGTGAAGCCATAGGGCAGTTACCTTCGAAATAAACAGCAAGAAAGGAAATAAAAAAGAGTAGTAAATAAATACCGTTCATAATTTATATAAAATACTATATTTGATTATTTACTTTATTTTACAAAATTAATACTGTATTACTATATCTAATGTATTTCTTTTTATTTTTGGAGACACATTATGTACACCATATGAATTTAGAAAGACAGACCTCACTTACTTTACAAAACTGAGAGCTGAACCTATAACTGTGTCATCAGCTACTGAGTGAAATACAACTGCTCATAAATTTTTAAAAAGCAGCACAAAGTGTCTCAATAAGGTATTATTCCACCACAAGCCTCTAGATCAGCTTCAGTGCTCATTGTCAGAGATTCCCATTTGAATGAAACTTCACTGAAGCAATAATCAATATTCTTCCAAAAGATAGTACTGCATTTGTTGTTTTTAGGAAAAAGGTTATACATGAGATACTAGTATGCATGTATACTCAGTGACTGGAGTATAAGAAATGACCCTCACTACAAAGAGATACAGATTTGCTACTTACATTGTATAGTAATCTGCAGAAAAAAAAACACACAAGGGAGAAGCATTGTTTAAACCACCTCCCTTTTTTCTTAATTTTCCGTTATTTTTTACCTGGTGTTTATAACTGACAACTAATGAAAACCCCAAATTCGGTATCTCAGAAAATTAGAATATTGTGAAAAGGTTCAATATTGAAGACACCTGGTGCCACACTCTAATCAGCTATTTGACTCAAAACACCTGCAAAGGCCTTTAAATGGTCTCTCTGTCTAGTTCTGTAGGCTACACAATCATGGGGAAGACTGCTGACCTGACAGTTGTCCAAAAGACCACCATTGACACCTTGCACAAGGAGGGCAAGACACAAAAGGTCATTGCAGAAGAGGCTGGCTGGTCACAGAGGTCTGTGTCCAAGCACATTAATAGAGAGGCGAAGGGAAGGAAAAGATGTGGTAGAAAAAAGTGTACAAGCAAAAGGGATAACCGCACCCTGGAGAGGATTGTGAAACAAAACTGATTCAAAAATGTGGGGGAGATTCACAAAGAGTGGACTGCAGCTGGAGTCAGTGCTTCCAGAACCACTACGCACAGAAAGACATGGGTTTCAGCTGTCGCATTCCTTGTGTCAAGCCACTCTTGAACAACAGACAGCGTCAGAAGCGTCTCACCTGGGCTAAAGACAAAAAGGACTGGACTGCTGCTGAGTGGTCCAAAGTCATGTTCTCTGATGAAAGTAAATTTTGCATTACCTTTGGAAATCAGGGTCCCAGAGTCTGGAGGAAGAGAGGAGAGGCACAGAATCCACGTTGCTTGAGGTCCAGTGTAAAGTTTCCACAGTCAGTGATGGTTTGGGGTGCCATGTCATCTGCTGGTGTCGGTCCACTGTGTTTTCTGAGGTCCAAGGTCAACGCAGCCGTATACCAGGAGGTTTTAGAGCACTTCATGCTTCCTGCTGCTGACCAACTTTATGGAGATGCAGATTTCATTTTCCAACAGGACTTGGCACCTGCACACAGTGCCAAAGCTACCAGTACCTGGTTTAAGGACCATGGTATCCCTGTTCTTAATTGGCCAGCAAACTCGCCTGACCTTAACCCCATAGAAAATCTATGGGGTATTGTGAAGAGGAAGATGCGATATGCCAGACCCAACAATGCAGAAGAGCTGAAGGCCACTATCAGAGCAACCTGGGCTCTCGTAACACCTGAGCAGTGCCACAGACTGATCGACTCCATGCCACGCCGCATTGCTGCAGTAATTCAGGCAAAAGGAGCCCCAACTAAGTATTGAGTGCTGTACATGCTCATACTTTTCATGTTCATACTTTTCAGTTGGCCAAGATTTCTAAAAATCCTTTCTTTGTATTGGTATTCAGTAATATTCTAATTTTCTGAGATACCGAATTTGGGGTTTTCATTGGTTGTCAGTTATAATCATCACAATTAAAAGAAATAAACATTTGAAATATATCAGTCTGTGTGTAATGAATGAATATGATATACAAGTTTCACTTTTTGAATGGAATTAGTGAAATAAATCAACTTTTTGATGATATTCTAATTATATGACCAGCACCTGTATAACTGTTTTTTTTTTTTTCTATTTTATTCTACTTCCATTCCCTTTGCAGTGTAGCAGTGTTGCTGACATGAAAAGTATAGCTTACAATTTAGTTACATTTTTGAATGTTTTTACGAGATAGGTTTCAAAGTTGTAGCATATAAATATTTTAACAGTTGTTTAAATGCATTTGAGCACTTACAAATGTGAATAAGCAACAAAAACTGTAATCTGTTCAATGCTTTTGTTGCAATAGTTGATGCAGTTGATTCAGCCCTAAATATTGGCTGTCAGCACAACAGAAATCCACTACCTTCATATCTAATGCATAACATTCCAAGGTTTTCCAGGTCATCATTTGTCAGAAAACTCATCCATGTTAAAGTTTATTTGTGCAGCACAATTTTGTACAAAAGCTCAAGTCTTTAACAACAAAAAACAAACAAACAAAACAAAGCATACAGCGACAGCACAGAAGGAAAACAGAGAAGACCAAAAGCCTTACAAACAACTGTCAGACAAAAAAGAATACATGAGAGCATTAAATCTTATGAGACTATGTGGTTTACAAGAACCCTAAACTGAATTAAAAGGTCTTGATATTCTTTTTAAATTGACAGTGTGTTTGACAATGATACAAACCTTTCTATGCACCTGATGTCCACTTTATGAGGTACACTTACAACGTGTTTCTAATATTCTGCCTTCATCATACATCTCTATCTCTATCTATATCCATATCTATCAGGGCCTGAAAGAGGAACTGAAGAGGATGTGGAAGGTGAAAGCCAAGGTGGTCCCAGAGATGGTAGGAGCACTTGGAGCTGTGACTCCTAAACTGGAAGAGTGGCTTCAACAGATCCCAGGAACAACATCAGAGCTCTATGTCCAGAATAGTGCAGTGCTAGAACAGCTACAATACAGTGCAGACCCCTCAAAACTCCCAGGATCGAGGTTGACGAAGACACAGACCACCGTATAGGGGTGAGAAGGGAATTATATATACAGTATATATACAGGTATGCTTATTCCTGAACAGGGTCGCGGGGGGCTGGAGTCAATCCCAGCTGACACTGGGCGAGAGGCGGGGTACAACCTGGATAGGCCGTCAGTCTATCACAGGGCTGACATGTAGACAAACAACCACACACACTCACTTCTATGGGCAACACAGAGTCTCCACAACCTAAGCTGTATGTCTTTGGACGGTGGGAAGAAGCCTGAGGACCCGGAGAGAACCCATGCAGGCACAGGGAGAACATGCAGACTCCACACAGAAAAAAAAAATTATATATGTATGTGTGTGTGTGTGTGTGCGTGTGTATTAAGATTTTGTAACAACTTTGTTTCAGGTTAGATTATTCAGTGTTGTAAATGAACTTAATTAACATTGTTATTTAATCAACTGCTAATTGCAAAATGCATTGTTGAAAACTAGTACTTTTTTAAACCTCCTGACTTCATTTTAGATTCAGGAAGAAATGCTTTTTCAAAAGATACAATTGCATAAATATGTACATTGGCTCATTTTCAAAATGAGCATTGTTTCTGTTGTCCTCCTTTGACTTTGCCTGTTTAGCAAATAAGAGATGATTAAAATAAATGAGCCTAGATTGATCCTGATACATGGTAAGGGGAAGACTGATGGGGCAGGCAAGCAAAAGGGATGATTACAACTGTCCTTGCTTGATGACAAATGGCCTTGTATTGCGCTGGAAAGAGGTTGTTTTTATCAGCTTGCATCAAAACACTTTGGGGATATCACAGTAGCCATCATTGTCATCATCCCTTTCAGCATTTTCATTGTTCGCTCCTACCGTTGTTTTGATCATCACAGAGCCTGTGATGCAGCCAGATAGTGTTGAAGCAAATATGACAAGTAGTGGGTGATAAAGGCAGTGAGGCTGGTTTATATTTAACAGATTTACAAACACTTGATAGTGACTTTTTTCCAAGCAGATCAACGTTTAAATGTAAATAGACCAGAAAAGTCAAGGCTACCTTCTGCACATATGGTGAGATTAGACATTTAAGTTCACATTTGATTAATTGCTTTTGAAACAGCATGGGAAAACTATAATTTATATTGATTTATTCTCTCTTTGCAAGTAATAATGAGAACTTGCACTACAATTGAAGGGTGACGTATTCAAGAAAATGAAATTTGTAAATAAAAAATAAAGCTGAATTTGCCACCCCTTGCTACCTGCCCCACCCTCCTGTCAAAATCAAAATGGGGATACTTGGTTTATGATTACAGTATAATTCAGCTAACTCAATTTGGGGCTACGGGGATTTATTAACATAAATAATAATAAATCATTACTTTTAATAATGTATTCCAATTCAAGGCGATTTTTTTTCATGCGTATAGTAATTTTACAGTGGTTCCAGTGGTGGTTGTCTCTTCTACCCAGTGTCTGAAACATGAACATTTTCTGCACCAGGATTTGTAATTGAACACATTATCCACATGATCCAACCAAAAATATAAAGAAAACTTATGTGTGTTTAAATTGCAGTATAAATTCTACACATACGCAGGGTCTGAAGTTGAGTTGTCCCTAAACTGTCACTGTGCACCAAACTGGTGATCATTGTGAGGTCCTTATTAATCTGTGGGTATTTTACTGAGTAGAGTGGAGTAGAGTAGAGTAGGTACTTTATTGATCCCACAGTGGGGAAATTTCTGTTACAGCAGCAATAGAGAACACCCAACATAACACCATAAGAACAGACACCACCATAAGAACAGGACTTCATAAAAACACAGAAAAGAACACAATGAGGACACAGCTGCTGTAACTTGCTGCCACTCTGTGCAGCGCAAGAGCATAAGATTCTTCTGGACATCTGACAAAACTATAGGCAAGTTACAAAAA